CTGCCCCGAGAGCACCCTGAGACGGCCTCCGCGGGCCAAGAAGTCCCTTCGAGGCCCCCCGAGGCCCCCAAGAGCTCCCCCCCAAGAGGCCCCAGGAGGGCCTTCAGATGTCCCCCAAGAGGATCCAAGGAAGCCCGCAGGAGGCCCCAAGATAGTCTCCAGGAGACCCAAAGACAATCTAAAGAAGCCTCCCCTTCCTCCTCCTCCTCCTCTTCCTCCTCCTCCTCCTCCTCCTCCTCCTCCCCCTTCTCCTCCTCCTCCTCCTCCTCCTCTTCTTCGTATGTTTCTTCTTCTTAGTATTCGATTATTCGTATTACTAATATTATGTTTCTTCTTCGAGTATTATTAATATTACTAAGTATGTTTCAAACTAGTGTTCTTATTAATTCGATTATTCTTTCTAACGATATTAATATAATTACTACGGGTTTCCTTCACGATTCGTATTGATACGATTCTTTTCTAGTAGCATTATTAGTGTTATTATTACAATACGATTATTATTATTATTATTGCTATTATTATTAGTATTATTATGATTATTATTATTATTATTATTATTAGTATTATTATTGTGGAGGCCCCTAGCAGGTTCCGCCGATCCGGGACGATCCCGCTGTCAGAAGGACGCTTTCGCCCCAGCGCGCTTGTTCAAACGGTAAGTGGTTTGGAAACAGCTTGGAGGCATTGCGTGGGCTTCTTGAGGGGCCTCTACGACGCATCTTCGAGGCCTCCTGGGGGGGCGTCTTGGAGGTGCTTGTTGAGCCTCTTGGGGGCATTTTGGGCTTCTTGGGGGGCATGCAGGAAGACATCCTGGAGGCCTTCTGGGGGTGTGTAGAAGGTAATGTTTAAGCTTTCGGGAGCGCTTTTGGGGGCGCCTTTTGGCGCACTTGGAGCCTCTCGGGGTTTCTTGGGGACTCCCAGGGCCATTTTGGTGCCTCCTGGGCCGTCTTGGGCCCTTCTGGGGCCGTCATGGAGCCCTCTTGGGCGCCTCTTGGGCCCGTTTGGGCTGTCTTGGGGGCCTCCCGGGCCGTCTTGGGCCCTCCTTGGGCCGACTTGGGGTCCTCTTGAGAGCCTCTGGGCCTGTTTTGGGGGTCTCTTGGGCCGTGTTGGACACTGCGAAGGCCGAAGAAGCGAACATGCAAACAATGTACGTTTTCCTCCGGGAATGGGACAAATTATCCGTCTTTGGGCACTCTTAGGAGGTGTCGGGAGGGTACGTTGGAGGCTTCTGGAGCCGCCTGAGGAACAGATTGAGCGTCTTGGAGCGATGTTTCGGCCACTCAGGGCGTCTGGGCGGCCGCTGGGTTTTTTATGACCCCCCGTTCGAGCTCTCCGGAGCGAGGGGCCGAGCCGACCCAGAGTGAGCCGGAGCTCTGATTTTGCCACCAAAATTGACTCGGACGACCCCCCCACCCAGGCAGAGCCACCCCGGCACCCATCCCCCCAGCAGAGCTGAAGCTCAAGAACTGAGGCTCAGGCTATATCTGAGGGTCTTTGAAACTCACACGCCGGATCGACGGAATATCATTATTTCATTTATCTTATTATACTATTAGTATTCATCTTATTAGTAATATTAATACTCGTCTTCGTCTTCGTATTTTTATGATTACTGTTCTTATGACTTGTTTTTCTTCTTCTTAATATTATTAGTATTATTATTATTAGTAGTAGTATTATAAATCGTATTATTAATATTCCTATTGCTAGTATGAGTACTATTATTATTAGTATTATCATCATTATTATTATTACTAGTATTATTATTATTATTATATCATTATTCGTATTATTATTAAACTTATTATTATTAGTATTATTATTAGTAGTATTATTATTAGTATTATTATTACTATTATTATTAGATTTCGTATTATTATTACCATTATTATTAGTATTACTCCTCTTCCTCCTCCTCCTCCTTGTCCTGGCTCCTCTTCTCTTCCCCCTCTCCTCTCCTCTCCTCCCCCCGGGGTTCAGAGTCCCCCTGCGGTCCACTCCCCCGCCAGGGCTGGGAAACAGTGGACCCACGCGGCGGTGGCCAGTGTTCCCGTGGTGGAGCGCGGAGCGCCCACGCCGCCGCCGCAGGGGAGGAGCGCAGTGCGCCCACGACGCGGAGAGCCAGCGCCTCGCTCGAGAGCGCGCGGAGCACCCTTTTTGCGCTTCGTGCAGGCGGCACCCGTCCGCCCAGGCCCCCTCCCAGCCTGGGGAGTACGCGGGTGGCCCCCCTCTTGGGTAGTCTGGGTCCTTGCGGCGGCCCTTTTCGCAACTTGCTGCGCAAATCCTCGCTAATCCTCCTCCTCCTCCTCCTCCTCCTCCTCCTCCTCCTCCTCCTCCACCTGCACCTGCACCTGCACCTGCACCTGCACCTGCACCTACACCTACACCTGCACCTGCACCTGCACCTGCACCTGCACCTGCACCTGCACCTGCACCTGCACCTGCACCTGCACCTGCACCTGCACCTGCACCTGCACCTGCACCTGCACCTGCACCT